ATAGCTCTACCAACCGCGGCTAATTCGCTGTTTAACGAGCTAAGCTAAAACATACACCTGCTAATCATGCTAACGGGTTGGACAGAGCTCCGGTGTTCCGGATTAACTGGTTCCCCGATCAACTGGTTGACAGATGTGGAGGCGTGGCCTTCGACTGAAATACACATTTCGATCGCTTCTTCTGTCGTTTACATACATCTTTTGGTATATTTGGCTGGATAGGAACACTTTGATGCACATTCAGTACCAGTGTGTGAGGTTGTGGTTACGATGGCGATATCCGGACGCGAACAGCGAGGACTACAAAAAGAAAAACGAGTTGACTGGGGATGTCTGTTCAAAACATTGCGAGCTCCAATAAATCCTTAAAACCAGCTATTGTTGCCCGACTTATCACTGAATATCGTTCCTAATGTGATACCAAGTCCATCTAAGACCTGTGTACACCTTCAGACAGCCTCCCAGTGAAGCGTACGTTGTTTACTCAGAGTTTGAAAGCAGCGTGGAGAAGTTTTCAGCTGTGTTAAACTGTGATCCTCTCAGGTAAACTGTGATTCGCCCAGGGTCAACTGGGATCCACCCATGGGAAAATGGGATCCGCCCAGGTTAAACTGTGTTACGACTTATGTGGCTATCTACCAGCGATCATCCATCCATCCATCCATCTTCTCCCGCTTATCCGTGGTCGGGTCGCGGGGGTAGCAGTTCCAGCAGAGAGCCCCAAACTTTCTTTTCCCTGGCGACATCAACCAGCTCTGACTGGGGGATCCCAAGGCGCTCCCAGGCCAGCGAAGAGATATAATCCCTCCACCTGGTCCTAGGTCTACCCCTTGGTCTCTTCCCAGCTGGACGTGCCTGGAACACCTCCCTAGGGAGGCGCCCAGGTGGCATCCTAACTAGGTGCCCGAACCACCTCAACTGGCTCCTTTCGACGCGAAGGAGGAGCGGCTCAACTCCGAGTCCCTCCCTGATGACCGAACTTCTCACCTTATCCCTAAGGGAGACACCAGCCACCCTGCGGAGAAAACCCATCTCGGCCGCTTGTATCCGCGATCTCGTTCTTTCGGTCATGACCCATCCTTCATGACCATAGGTGAGGGTAGGAACGAAAATGGCCCAGCGATCATGTTTAATATTAAAGACACACATATATACATCCCTTATAAAAACGGCATTCTGCAGCACTCATCCAGATAACATGTGACTGTTAACTCGTTTTGCAAAGATAGCAGCAGAAATGTCATTGCTGCATGTGCAGGGATATTAGACTTTAAAATGCTGATGGGTCATTAATGTTGGTGTCGGCAAACAATATTAGGAATCGTCTATTCAAACTACATAATATTCAGTGTCCATCGACATGAAAATAACAAAAAAGTTCATGCTGGACTCAAACCCGAGTCCCAACAGCAAAAGTCACTCCAGCCCTGCACGTTATGAGTGCGCCACGGATCAACACGACGTATCAAACCACCACACTATAATATTTTAGATTAACCTTGTTAAAAAGTTCTAGAAAAATGCAACCTGACCATCATTTATAATGTGAGCGAATGTATGTACACTTTAAGCCATATAATATACATATTATAATATAGTATACTGACTGAGGTCTGTATCAAGCCTCATTCATACCTCATTCACACCAACGCAACTCCGGTTCAAGCTCCGTGCTAGAGCTTTTCAGGTTCAGAACCAGTTCTTCGGTTTAGCTCTGGCTCTCTTCACACCGCCCGCCGCATAGTCCGACTGGTAATGCGTCGTTGCGTCATCGTTTGCGTCATGACGTATCCGTTTGCATGCCTGCTTCATAAAGCCAAACCGTGCGGATGAAATCAGTTGCATTCATTTCTTATGGCTCTATCTGCAGCTTTTCCGGAGTCATTTCTGTGGTTTAGTTATATTCTTATAAAAAAGTGTACTCGTGCCAATAAAGGTTTTTTTAAAACACAACTGCTTCCGAGGTCGGTCTTATTTCTTAAGGTGGACTGAACCATGAGTGTGGAGTAACGTTGTATCTTTCATGAACTGTAACCTTCACCCAGGTATGTAACAGCTGTTCTCAAATGAACACGTGAAGTAAAGTTTAATATTTATAGTTTTATAGATTTATAATGAGAGGTGATCAACGTGAATGCTCAGGTTCCACCTTAACACGCAGACATGTTGCTTCACCATGAGCAGAAACCTTTATATATACAATCTATGGCAAAAACACTGAAACTCTTGTTAAGTTTCTCCATCGTTGTGTACAAACTGGATAAAACGCGGGCTTTTTGTTGTTGTTCAGGAGTTGATCTGTCTCTGCCATGGATGTATAATAAGAACTGGATACAGCGTGGGAGGCGCTCTCTGCCCCTGCCATGGATGTATAATAAGAACTTGTGATGTGTCGGTCTTTTAAGTGAACGACGGGAGCCGGCTCTCGCCCGCGAACGAGCCATTTTTGCGGAGGGATCTAGATCGGCATGAAGGCACATTATGCAATGTGCACATTATCCCGCTTATTACATGGCCACATTCTCAACAAAGTAGCGACATGACTCCCAATATTAATGGAAATGCTTTTATGGATTTGGAAAATGATTTTATTGATTTAAAAAATAGTTGTATTGATTTAAATTGACATGCATCCGCTAAGAAAAGTAGTCCGTTGTTACTGTTTGAACTAACGTAGCAACGGCAGGAACTGCTTCGATAGTGTTTTTGAGGAGCTTTTTGATTACAGATTTGAAAACATCGTTGCTTGCTTTAAAAAGTAGCACAATTCATTATGTCAAACCTTGGAAAGTATCTAGATATCCCTGCCCTAATGCCAAAGTAACTGGCAACTGAATATGTGTCGCCGTTTGATGTCTATGTCTGGACCGCTGCGTAAAAAGGAGGGTTTCTGCCCCATTACTTATCTTCTTACTTCTATAAGAATAAAACATGGAGGACGGAGATCTCTTTTTCTCCCCCTCTTCTGACAGCCCAGCAGCTGATCTCAAAGCACGCTCCCCTCTCCTGCAGGGGGGCGTGGTCAGCTGCAGCTCACAGAATCAGCCCCCTGCAAAAACAGCGCTGGAAAGAGCAAATAGAGCGAAATGAGGCATGGCTAAAATGCAGGATCTTTTTGGTATTTTGAAAAAAAAACTATATTTATATACTTTATATAGGTCGATACAGTAGCCCCCTTTTTTTTTTTAAAATAGTTTTTATAGGTGTTGCTATCTGTTTTGTGTAGCGTGGTTCTACAAGCAAGTCAATGCATTCATTGGGTGGTATCAGAGAGTTGCACGGGTCTGTAAATGCAATGAAAACAATTGGCCACAGCAAATCATTTATATTAAACATGTAATTTTTACTTTTGAATACTTCAGTACAATGGATGTATTGAATAATTTAAGTGATATATGTGTACACATATAAATCATTAGTCAAAACAGGGCTACATTTGATTTAATTAAAAGGTATAATAAGTAGGGCCGGGACTTTAACGCGTTAATTAAGATTAATTAATTACACAAAAATTAACGCGTTAAAAAAATTAACGCATTTTAATCGCACTTTAATCGCACTTGTTTTTGCACAGCGGAACGTTTCTCACTGGATGAGTTTCAGGCGTACCGATTATACTGGAGCACCAACTAACGTTCATGACTTCAGCATGGGACTTCAAACAACAACAAACCACGGTGAACAATAGTCAAACATGAACGAACAAGCTGATGAGACCGCTTTGGTCGGCCCCGTGGATGGGAAATTTTGTTTTAAAAAACGGACGGATGGAAGCGTCGATAAGAGCACGGTTGTGTGCAAATTATGCAAAAAATAATTTGCATATCACCGCAGCACATCAAGCCTAAAGTATCACCTAAATGCAAAGCATGTAGCAGCTAGCGTGGACGTTAGCCCGACTCCGAGTACAAGGAACCACACCCTGACCCAACCCACACTCAACCAGATGACTGGTTTCAGGGCCAGGATAAGTAAGTCCACGTCTGAGAAAATAACCAACTCCCTGGCTCACTGGATTGCACTCGACTGTAGACCACTTGGAGTGGTTGAAGATAAGGGGCTGCAAAAGGTACTCCAGATTGCATCGTCTGCAGTGTTGTGCTAGTTACTGAAAACCAGTAACTAGTTACCATTACTAGTTACTTCATGTCAAAAGTAACTCAGTTACTTTACTGATTACTTACACCAAAGAGTAATGCGTTACTGTGAAAAGTAACGTTTTCGTTACTTGATAAAAGGGCTCCCATTAATGCCCTTATAGCCTTCATTTCAGTACTGTTATTGCATTGGAGAGTAATACAATCTGTTGATCAACTTGACATGCATTATATTCTATCTGGATTGCATCGATATTAGCTGGCTTTCCATTTATGTATATTCTTTCTCCAGGTAGTTGGAAAAAGTGTTCCGTCCCATATGCTGTGTGCCGCCCGGACATGGTATCATGCTAACTAGCTCCCTGGAATCGGGTGACTCCACTGTAGCAATAGCCTGCATGTGTTCTACAACATACCGTGCAATGGCTTTATCGACTTTTCCCTGGCTAGCAGTCCCTCGGTTAAAATCCAGCCGCTGTTGCTTAGGTGGAGGTGGAGTGGCGTCGGCTGAGTCTCTGTGGTCTTAGCTACTAGCTTCGTCCCAGCATGTTGTTTTTGCAGATGTTTTAAGAGATTTGAATTACTGGTTTGGGCAGTAGATAGGATCTTTGACCCGCCAAGACACAACTTACATTTAACTAAAACGTTCTTTTCTTTGTGCTCGACAAAAGTGAAATAGTGAGAATATCTCCAGGTGGAGAAACTAGACTTGAGCTCCGCCGCCGCCATGATAGTCTTGTTAGTAAGCAACACAAACACGCCCACAGCGCGTCTCCGCATGTGACACAGGAAGTATCAAAGTACATTTACTCAAGTACTGTACAAGTACAGTTCTCATCTCTGTTCGCCTGGCTGTTGACTATATAAAAAAACTAACGGAGTAACGCACCATGTAGTAACGGTAACTGAGTTACTGAATTTAAAAAGTAATGCGTTAGAGTACCAGTTACTGTAAAAAATAACGGCGTTACAGTAACGCGTTAGTCCCAACACTGATCGTCTGACGCAACATATGAGCTGCCATGCAGAAAGACAGTGACAAAAAGAATCCAGCAGCTTTATGACAATGAAAAGGAAGATAAAGAGAATTTATTGGAGAAAGCCGAATGTGTTGCCCTGACTGGGGATCATTGGACCTCGGTAAGCAATTCAAATTACCTCGGTGTGACGGCACACTTTATTGACATCAAGTGGCGTCTTCACTCATTTGCCTTGACCATCCAGAAGACCACCACTAGGCACTTTGCTGAAAACGTGGCAGAAGATTTTGAGTCTGTGGCAGAGGCCTGGGAAGTCACACTAAAAGTCACCACAATCGGAACAGACTGTGCCCGAACCATGATCGCTGCAATGAGACTGCTCACATTCCAGCATGCCGTGTGTTGCTCACGTGTTGCAAAGGACCATCACAGTTTGCCTTGCTGACAGCGGGTTCACAGGCACATTGGCAAGATGTCGTAAGATAGTGGGGCATTTTAAACACAGCCCCTCAAACACAGAGGAACTGCACAAGGAGCAAACAGAACTAGAACAAGACAAAGAGCCACTGATACAGGATGTTTCCACAAGGTGGAATTCAACACTGTTTATGATCTCTCGTCTGCTGAAGAACCAAGAGGCTGTGAAGGCTACTCTAGCCAAACAGAAGCACAAGCTCACCATGTTGACTACAGTAGAGTGGGACAGACTGCAGAGGCTCGAGACCCTCCTTAAATCATGCAGGTAAACACCCACCAACTGTTTTATTAATGGGATTAATTAATCATTGCTGTCCCTTGAAAAACGTTGTGAATTGACTATGATTGTGCAGTATAAATTAAATTGCTTTTCCAAAATGTATTGTCCTGAATATCAATATCACTATGACTATAGTATAAAGTTGCTACTGTTTTTAATCTACTATTAATTGGTACAATAATAAATCACTTTCCAAAACTATCCACTGGAGGGAGGGATCCACATGTGACTGAGCTCCTTGGGGGTGAGACTTATGTCTCGTGCTCTGTTGTGTTACCTGCTCTCCGTCACCTGACCCGCACCATGGAGGTCTCAGATGACGACCCAGCCTATGTGGTGAGGTTCAAGGCTGAAGGACCTGTCTCAACGCCAAGATGCACTCAACCATGGATGGCTCAGGGTGGCGACAGCACTCGACCCGCGCTTTAAGGTAACATGTGTAATGGTCTTCTTTGTTTTTCTCTTTTCTTGCTTTTTGACCTCCTTTCCCCTGCCCCCCCTCTTCTTCCCTCCCCCCTCTTTCTTTCTATGGAATAATAATATGATGGGAACCATGTACGAAAATGAATTTCACCCACCTTTTTACTCTGTAAATCTGTAATGTGACAATAAACCTGATTCTGATTCTAAGGACCTAAAGTGTCTACCAAGAGGAGAGCGAGGAGGGGTGTGGACCAGCGTTGAGGCACTGCTGCAAAAAGAACCAGACAGAGCCACTCCAGAACCCACAGAGGTGCCAGCAAGGAAGAGGAGCTTCCTGCTGTTTAATTCAGACTCTGAATCAGAGGATGAAGAGGGGCCCAACGGGGCTCTGGGCCGCTACAGGGCAGAGCCCACCATCAGTGAGACAGACTGCCCACTGCAGTGGTGGTCCACTCATGAGGGGGCCCATCCACAGCTTTCTGCCCTAGCCCGCAAGTATATGGGCAGCCCTGCCACTTCTGTCCCTTGCGAGAGACTTTTCTCACTGGCAGGTAACATAGTTCAAAAGAAGAGGCCTTGAGCTCTGAACATGTGAACAGGCTAGTTTGTCTCAGCAACTGGCTGAAAGAGAAGAAGCAGAATAAGTAGTCTTAGAGGTATCCTGAGGCCAAGGGGCTTGTTACTGAAATGTTGATCAAACAGTGGCCTATGCAACAGAGATTTTATTTTTCATCAGGATATTGGAAGAATAGGAGGGATTGAGGTCAATCACTGGCACTTTTTTATTTTATTTTAAATGGTACACTTTATGTTGAACTATTTATTATGTTGTTGGTGCAACTGGCACTTTATGTTGAACTGTTTATTGTTTTGGCCAAGGTTATTGAGATAGTTGGACTGAAATTGATTAGATTTTTTAAATCAACAAAGTCTGTTATGGCCTCTGAAGCAAGAGAGATGTTTTTGAATAGTCAGGGTTTCCAATGTTCTAAATGTACTAGAAAGTATTGTGTTTTACTTAAAAAAGTACCACCTTGAAAAAAAATAAACAATGTTTTGTTGCTTAAGCTTATGTATTCAGTCATTATTCAATGGTATACTAAAATCCATGTGAAAATTGCTTCTCACTGTTCTCAGGTCAAATATGTATATTTGATTAAAAATGCGATTAATTTCGATTAATTAATTACAAAGCCTCTAATTAATTAGATTAATTTTTTTAATCGAGTCCCGGCTCTAATAATAAGTGGTAAACTGAAGAGCCGTTTGGGAGCCGAAAGAGCCGGCTCTTCTTGGTGAGTCGAGCCAAATGATCCGACTCACCAAGAAGAGCCGGAATTCCCATCACTAAAGAACTGGATACAACGTGGGAGGCGGGGCCTCATTCATTCCTATGAGAGTTGCTCAATAGCGCATGATGACAAAATGGCCCAATTTTTGAGAGAGCGAAACGTCACAGATTACCCGGCATGCCTGAGAAGTACCCGTATGTGCGCTCATAGCGCATGCGCAACTTTAACCACGCCGCCCAAAAGGCTCGTTCACGTGAATTTGCGTACACGTAACAGCACCGCGCGTTCATGACAGCATGGTACTGGATTTAACGAACGAGAACAGGCACGAGGCGGCAGTTAGCAACTAGCGGCTAGCTAGTAAATTATGCTAAATCACACATCAATCGTTATGTACTTTTATATTACGCTGACATCAGGATCTAGTGATATCCATGCAACAGAGCTTCATTTAGCATGATACTTGTGTGGGTTAACTTGTACATGAAACCACTTGGTAAAATATAAAAATGTATGTTGAAGCCTGTTATGATCAATTGTGAGTTAAAACTTTATCTAAAATGGATGATGGATTACTGTGGTGGAGTTAAAATAACAATAGCCTATTTATTTTTGAAATGTGATGGAGTAAAAGGATAGTAACTGTGATTATTCATGTTAAGTAGCCCACAATTAACTAAAACAATTGCAAGTGCAATAAGAAGCTACAGGAACGTTAATCTACGTCGGTAATATTAACTTTATTTAATACAACATTTACGGTACAAGATTTACATCATACAGCCCATGTAGTATAATATTTTACAAATGATGAATTACAGCAAACATGTGCAATATATCCATTATTACAGCTCCGTGGGATGGCAGTAAGGCGATATGGGTCCGTTGTTATTGTGCATCCATGGGTAAAGATAAACGCATGTAGTGCTGAACACGTAACATGAACGTGCCGGGCAGCGCGGTCCCGTGGGTTAGATGCGCGTTCATAATGCCGAGGGAAATAACTCTCAGAATAACGTTATTAGCACATTTTTACAACTTGAGGAACGAATGTTTTTAATAAGGGCTATACAAGTGTTCATACTGGGTTGTTTATTTAGTTTAAAAAAAATTATCCAACAAGTTACAGACCACTCTTTCCCAATGTAAGTCAATGGGAAAAAGTGTTTCCGGGCCCAGCAACCAAACGGAAGTGTAGTACCGCCGTTTGGCCACTACGAATATTCTCATCAGACTCCGGCGCACTTCCTGGGGGCTTGGCCCCTGCCCCCGCCTCGACGTAAGCGTGACGTATGTGGTGCTTTTGCTCTGGCCGGACAATTTTTTGGTGCTTGAAACGAACCGGATTCCGGAGCTAAGAGGCTGCTCCGCTGCGGTGTGAAGAGGAAAACCCGGTGCTTTTCAAGCTCCAGCTCCTAACCGGCCCTGAAACACCGTTGGTGTGAATGAGGTATAAGACCCACCGAGATCAGATATCCTAGTTTATCAGCCTGCGAGCCCACATTATGTTGTGATAAGTGTTAGTTTTACCGTGGTATCGTGTTGATCCGTGGCGCACTCGCAGGGCTGGAGTGACTTTTGCTGTTGGGACTCGGGTTTGAGTCCAGCATGAACTTTTTTGTTATTTTCATGTCGATGGACACTGAATATTATGTAGTTTGAATAGAGGATTCCTAATATTGTTTGCCGAGACCAACATGAATGACCCATCAGCATTTTAAAGTCTAATATCCCTGCACATGCAGCAATGACATTTATGCTGCTATCTTTGCAAAAACGAGTTAAAGGTCCCATGTCATGGCCATTTCCACTGATCATAATTCCATTGTTGAGGTCTACTAGAATATATTTATACTGTGCAATTTTTCAAACTCACATTGGTTTCGCATACAGCATCTCTGTAAAGTATGTGTATTCAGCAGTATTCACGCTCTCCACTAAACGGCTCGTTGCAGCTCTTGCCCCCCCCCCCTCCCTGTGAGCCCAGTGTGCTCCGATTGGTCGGGACCAGTCGGGATGTTGTGAATCGCGCTGATGTCCGTGGAGGTGTGATTTCCTTGTTTAGCGATACACAGCGAAACACAGCCAAACTCATCCTGAGCACACACAAAGTCACAGCCGAAGTAAAAACAATAAGTGTGGCTTGATATTGAGTAATAAAAAGGTTGATAAACGCTGTGAGAATGGGTCTTTAGAGAGAATTTCACCGCGATCCCAACTGTCTGTTATCAGCCTGCAGCCAGGGAGGAGAAATCAGCAGAGCTGCCTGCACTGAGTGTGTGAGGAAGTCCGTGGATTGGTCAATTTGGACCAATCAGCGGGGGCTTAACGTAACGGCTCCGCGGACGTAACGTAACGGCTCCACGGATTGGTCCATTTCGTTCCGGGGACGATATGACATCATGATGTACCCGGAAGAATCAAATGGACAGTGACGTATCTCCAACGAGGCGTTTTGGGGAGGTATTTTCTGTGTTAGAGTTTACTCGCTACATGGTGTACTTTGAGGGTTTTGACTCTGCACACCATTCACATGCATAAAAACCTTCATAACACACAAGGGGACGGGTAATAACCGGAAAAGCATGACATGTCACCTTTAACAGTCACATGTTATCTGGATGAGTGCTGCAGAATGCCGTTTTTATAAGGGATGTATATGTGTGTGTCTTTCATATTAAACATGATCGCTGGTAGATAGCCACAGAAGTCGTAACACAGTTTAACCTGGGCGGATCCCATTTTCCCATGGGTGGATCCCAGTTGACCCTGAGCGAATCACAGTTTACCTGAGAGGATCACAGTTTAACACAGCTGAAAACTTCTCCACGCTGCTTTCAAACTCTGAGTAAACAACGTACGCTTCACTGGGAGGCTGTCTGAAGGTGTACACATGTCTCAGATGGACTTGGTATCACATTAGGAACGATATTCAGTGATAAGTCGGGCAACATGCAATAGCTGGTCACGTGCTTTGACCACCAGGTGTCCCTTTCTATCAGCTCTGCACGGTTATGGTGTAAATACAGCCTATCTACCAATTGGATCAAATATAAAAGTCAGCCGAATTAGTGTTGATACTGCAAGGAGACGTATTGTGTGAAAATAAATGTAAGATGCTGTTTAATTGCTTATATATTTATGATTCACGTCACATCTTCAGTTTTGGCGGCAGTTCTCCTGTTTGTCTAGAAGTCTTCTCAGCAGGGCTCTATAAATAGAGAATTACGGCAGATATGTAATATTTAATGCAGCCGAACCGTGTATTACAATGCCGTTATGTGATGACTTTCAAAGAGAAAAGCAAGCACACTCGGAATAAAGTATTATTGTATTTTTAAAAAACGTTTTCAGATTTCACATCACATAAACACCAAATCCCAGCATGCATTGCGGATAACCATCGAATCATCGAGCTGAGGATCTTGCCTACGTCTGTTTCCGGTTTCGTTTAATGACCGATGTATTTTGTTATACACACATTCCTTCACATTTACATTTTAATGTGCATTAAAGTATTTCGCGAGGCCTTCTAACATGTTTTTAAATATAACTACGGTTGTAGTTGAATAGTTTGTAAATTAACATGAACCGAAGCTGTTGCTTGGCAACTCAATCGCACAACGTCACGTCCGTTAATTCCACATCCACACGCATGGATTAACATCGATTTAATACATTAATGTAGCCTTTGTTTATGCTAAAAGAGGTGTCGACCAGCTGGGGCAACAAGAACATCGCTGTAATCGAGTGTGACTATTAAAATATAAATCATTACGTCGGGGTAGCATTTGCTTGGTATTTCCGGTTATTTCTCCACTGGTTAACATGGGTTAACAATACCGTGTAGCTGTCACGTTTGAAGGGGACGAAACCGTGACATCTTCACGTCTCCCAGCATGGTAAATCGTCACATGTTCACGTCTTGCCGTGATACCGGGTTGAAAACAACATAACCAAACACAGATGACTGTACCATGTCTGTCACGCAGGGGTAACAGTGTAAAGTTTGGACAAACTGTCGTGTTTAGGAAAACACGGTAAATAATAAAGTTTTTACCGAACATATTTGTTGTATTTACTAATAGAATAGCAACACGACTGCTTTAGACGCTTTTTGTGACAAGCTTGAAGTGCATTGAGTGTATAAAACTGAGCTTGGCCCCCGGCTGGCTGAATAGAGTAGAACAATCCAGTAGACGGAGAAAGAGAGAGAGAGTGGACGACCCAAACACGGACGGTTAGCAGCAACTATCAACCAACGGCCGCCTGACAGCCCTTTTTAAAATAGCAAATTCTTCAGCGGTAATACAAGAAAAATGTGACCAAGTGAAAAGAACAGCTTGGCGAAGACTGTCAGAAACGCATGACAACCAACTTTGGTTGTTAAGAGAGGCGCACCATGGCATCTCAGCCGAGGTAGGCAGACACAGCTAGCACAGAAGGGCGCTAGCTAGCACAGCCTGACCGGGTAACTACCCTTAATTAGCTAGATACGGTTAGTCTGATAACTAGCAGCGCACTTGAGCAAAGTCAACTTTAAGTTTGTAACTCTGCAAAGGTATCAGAATTAAAGGGGTGTTTTTTTTTTTTGTTAATAGTAAACCGACAGAGGATTTTGGCTTTGGTAAGCTTTCTAGTGCCCGGCCGTCCACTTCTCCCATAGGGATATAGTGCCGTCGGTCAAAATATTAGGGCCAAGGGATGGCCCGCTGGGATTTTGATCCCGCTGCCACCATATTTTGTTACGACAGCATCATATGCGTGTCATGCATGTCATTGGACCCTAGGTGGCGGTATTCTAATAGGTTTGTACTTTAACTGCATGGGGGTCAATAT